AGCTTGATTATTAACCATCTTTCTAGCCCATGGAGGGGGCATAATAATTTCTTTAAATCACTCTCATGTTTTATATAGTGATTCGTTGTCTTTTAGAGTGAATCTCATAATCAGATTTCTCAGCTGGGAAGTTTTACTTGCCTGGAAATACCTAGAAAGGAACATGAATTTCAACTCCTTCATATGTAATCAGAAGGTAAGGATTATAGCCATGTTGTGGCTTTATCCCTTAGAAAAGGGAACAAGTCTTAACTAGATCCCTTTGAGTTTGATGTCGTAACCAAATTATTTTGGGTCCTTGTGAGTGAGTGGAGTGTAAATAATTCTTTTTTAAGATAACGAAGAATAGCCAAGGCTGCCATCCAATTTTATTGGGAAACAATAGGTACGAAGAAAGAAAAACCCTAACATACTTCTCAACTAAAGGTAAGATATCCTATAACTTGTCAAACTAATTTTATTCCTAATCAGACTATTACACGGAAAATTAGGTATCTAATTCCAAAAAGGGAAACTATCAATGGCTAGCCCTACATATGCAAGGATATCATCAGAAGTATTACCTTCCCTATAGATATGTGTGATGAATAAGTTATATACATCCCAAAATATTTTTATCAAGGGAGAGCTATGAACTCAAACAAATAATGAAATACAGGCCAATATATGAGATCACCCCTAGAGACTGGATCTGACTACCCAGTAAGAACATGGTCGGGTATGAAGCCGGAGTAGGCTAAGAAGTTAAGGGCATATCAGAGCGTGACCCAGGACCGACACTGAATAAGTTGTCAGATATGAGCTCAGCACAATAAAGCCAGTTTGCAGGAAGTCGAACCCGAGGTGTAACTATGGCCTAATAATGAGACAAACGTTACAAGTCATTGATGGACGGTTACAAACGTTAAAATTCATTATGGGAGGTTACTAACGTTACATGATGGATTTAATAGCCATTAGACCAAGGATTATCTTATATAAAGGGTCCTTAGATAATGGAAATGGGATCTAAAAATGGACATAACACATACATACAGAGGGGCTCCCGACAGAGAGATAAGCAAGTCACGTTTCTTGGGTCAATACGAGCCATCATCGTAACATCCAAATCCCCCAAATAACCTACAAAAATCTACCCATTCCGGCTCTCCATATATCTATAGGGAAGCTACTCATTTATTGTTTTTACGCAAGAACAAGTTCATGTTGTGAAGGATCATCTAACAATCATCCAATTTGTTTGTTAAAAAACCAAGGGATGATGGAATTAGACTTGAAATCTTGCATTGTCCAAGAGGAATTAGTATCTTTCCCTAAGTTAGTCCAATCATGTGTGTAGGATAATTTAGTTATTCTCAAAATTCTAGTTAATTGAGCAGTCAAGGAAGATTTCATTCCAATATTTTTTGCAAAGCAAGCCATAAAACCACCTAGATTATCTCTAAAAGTATCTTCACAAGTTGAAGAGGAATTGTTTGAAACTTCATAAGTATTTAACTTCAGCCAACCTTGATTAGGAGGGTTACAAAGGACTTCAGTGATGCTGGAAGCTCTTGTAAGATTAATGTCAATATTCCTTGATAATTCTTTTCTGAGCGAATAAATAAGGTTGAACTTCATCAGTATTATTCAATATATACAAATATGGTCAAAAAACTAAATCTCGAGCCTTTTAATTAATATTTAAACCTCGAGTACCTCCACCTTCATATATTTCATCTAGTCTAGACTTTGGAATTATTATGGAGTCTGCTTCTGACAAATTGATTGAACAAAAATCAATATCTTCTTCTACAATGGACCTTTCAATGATTGAAGCTTTCAGACGGTGATGATTATTTATATAACTTTTAAATATCGTCATGTATCACTCTACTGGATACTTCTACATTAAGTAAACAGAGTTGCATAATTTGATTTCCCTAACTAGATGAACAATTAAATGAACAATGATGTCAAAATATCATGGAGGGGAAATACATCTCAAATTGACAGAAGATAATTGCAGTATCATCTTCCAAATCATATAGTTTTTCTAGATCAAAGACTTTATTACATATAGAATTAAAGAATAAGCACAATCTGGTCACAGTTAGACTTATATTCTATTGTAAGATGCCACAGATAACCACTGGTAGAAGTTGCATCAAGACATGAAAATTATGAAATTTTTTGCCAATCAACTTAAGATATATTATTGATAAAATTTTCTTGAAAATTGATGAGTATTCTTGGGGAACTATGAAATCATGAAAACGCTCACGAAAACTTTCTTTTCTTTTCTAGGTAGAGTGTGACATGTTGGGGGAAAATACATTCTTTTTCCTATTTCTTTTGAGGCAAACTCTTGTTGTATACCCATCATATCTATATGTAGAGGGAATTTTTACCATCATTTGTTTTGCCTTTAATGTTTAGAAGTGTTTCAATCAAACTATCACATACATTTTTCTGTATATGCATCACATCAAGAGAATGTCTTACATTGAGGCTAGACAAATATGGAACATCAAAGAACATTTACCTCATTTTCCATATATTTTTTTCTCCGAGGGCCCTTTTTGGTTTCTTCAAAAGACAAAATTAATGTGTTATTTTATTTTATAAATTTCCTCCCTGTTTAAAGGCTTAGGAATGATGTCAAACTCCCGATCTCCGTTAAAATACTTTCGCAATCACAATATGAATGATTGGGTCTTAGAAATATCATATGCCCAAGGTAAACCGTCTTTTTTCCATTCTGAAGTTGGTGAGAGTATGCATTAGATTCACATATAGGATATCATTTATGTTCCTTGATGATGTATCTAGGTAAATTACCATATGCAAGAAAGTCGTTGATTATGCAAAATAATATGGCACACCTCTTAAACGTTTCACCAAAATATGCTTTATAAACATCAATGTCTTCCTGCCACAAAACTCTTAAATCTTCAATCAATGGACTTATATAAACATATATGTCGTTTCCGTGTTGTCTTTGCTCTAAAATCATCATAGATAACTTAATATATTTATACTTCATGTACAGTCGAAGAGATATGTTATAAATAATTAGAAGAATAAGTCATTAAGTATTGCTTGTACTCAGACTACCAAAGGGGTTTATTCCATTAGTTCCATGTCCAACCCTAAGGTTTCTTGGCTCATGGCCAAAATTCAGATACAATAAATCAACTTCAACTTTATGTGACGTCGCAATTTTGTTTTTATGCACTTCACCATGCGACATCCATATTGTATAATGTTGACTAATTTCATAACAACATATGAGATTGAATAGAGGGTGGTATACCAAATATTTGAGAAAGCATATAACTAAGCTTATGCTATAGGTTTGTTAGGTTTTTTCTTGTGGATTGGATCCTCATAATCACCTTGTACTTAGCGTTTTTTGAATTAATATATATTAATTTTGATTAAAAAAATATATTTTCACATATAACACAAGGACAATAAAAGATTCCATTATTGTCAGGACGTTTTCTTTATGTGAATTCAGTAAATTCGACCACGCTTATCTCATACACTAGGCTTAATCTATTAGCTTTCATCCAACTACTATCCATAATACTTTCTAAAATTAAAATCAAAATCCTTCTAAAATAATTCATCTTGAATGAAAACTTGCTAAGTTCAAAACTTTGCTAAGTCACATTATAAAAATTAAACATTCCTAAGTCACAACAATAACAACAACATATAATATTTTCAATAACACAAAAACAATCTAAATCGCAATCTCAATCTCAAATTCAATCACAACAATATATAACATTCAAAATTTTACTAAGTCACAACAAATAAACAACAACAACAACAAAAGAACAATCTCAATCTCAACAAACCAACAACATTAAAACCCCCAGTCTCAATAAAAACAATATCAATAATAAACATGTTACTTGTCTCAACAAAAACAACAACATTTAACATTCAATCTCAATCTGAACAAAAACAACAACAAAATTAAACCTCTAGTGATTAGGGCCCTAACAACAACAAAGACAACATTTTTGTAACATGAATAATGGAAATGTTTCACGTCCGAAAATGTGAAAATGAAGTCAAAAAATGAGTCTTGTGTACCATTCTTGCGAGTTTTATGTTTCCTTTTCTTTCTTCCTACGAGTTGGATAAGATATGATGGAGGTTATTGAAGAAATTGTGCTTCGTACATTTATGTAGATGGATTTTATCTAGGGTGTTGTTCTGTTCTAAAATAACATAAGCTACAACTTCGTTTATGTAATATCTTTTAATTTAAAAGAGTAACTTTTCACTGCATTTGCTTTTACCAGCCGTGGGGAGATGTCATAACTTTTAATTTATAAATAAAAATAAAATAGGTGAACTATATTTTTTCTCCACAGTTCCTTTTATCAACTGTGGAGAAAAGTTAGTCAGATTTATCTATAAAAGTTTTACATGTTCATTCACCTTTTCTTTAAACTTAACTCATTACGCCTCCAAACTTCATCTTCCATGAACGAACCCTACTTCTCCCGTAAACAAAACTCGAACACATAATTTATTCCATTAAGCAAACTAAAAAATAACATTTCTTGTAGTGTTTGTATCACTTTGAAAATTTTACTTTGTAGATACTAAAACAGTATGTTAAAAACTTTAGTTTGAAGATTAATGTCAAGTTTCACTTTATCAAGTAAATGGTATGCTAGAACCTTGACGTTAATTTTAAACGCCAAAATCTTCAAGATAGTAAAAAATTGAGAGAATATTTTTTCCCAAAACTGGCTTAAAAATGAAAGAAAAAAAAAACTTAATTGTATGTGTTCGGATTCTAACTATGTCCCTAATTGTATTCATCCTTATCTTTAACTCAGCATTTAATTTGGTCCCTTAACTTTAAAAATTATACCAATGTAAATATTATGAATTATACCAAAGTATCTTATAAGAACTTACCAACCAGAAAAGAAAAAAAAGGTCTAACTAATGTGACATATACATATCTACAGGCAGTTATTTTAACAGCTTCATACCAAAACCTCGTAACTGGCATCACATGAACTCAAATAGTAAAAATTGCAACCATGGGAAACCGAGCTATGTTTGTGAACCATAGGAAAATTGCAACCTACAGAACCCATATCAACCTCATCACTCTCTATCTCCACAACAGCCTCACAGAACAAATCAACATGACAAGGAAGCCATAGAGGACCATCATTTCTATAACCATATTCATTCTCAACATCTTCCAAAAACGTTTTGAACAAAGGGTGATTGAATATTTTGATCTTGATTATGAATCTTTGTCTCTCAGCTCCAACATAGACACAAACACAACCATTTGGTGGTTTCTTAGTATTATCTTTTTGCTTTTTGTGACACTTGTCTGATAATTTTCCATAGCTTCCACTTCTACTACTGTCTTGTGGATCATACAATCTCTTGCTGCTTCCCAATACCCTCTTACACTTCTTCACCAAATTCATCTCTATAGTTTGTTTGTATATATCTATACTCTTAAGAGGAAAAGCAAGAGAGATTAGAAATGAAGATGTTGATTCATAATGTGTAAATGAATTGCTTTTTATATACACCACTAAAGTCTCACATGGTCCCTATTCTTCTACATTATTGGTCTTATTACTCCTTTTTTTTTATCCTCTATCATTGTCCAATTCACACGTGCTGTTGAATTTTGTATATTGTTTATAGGTAATGTAACTTTTATTTTTATGGTTACAAAAGTTTTAAAAAAAATTTAGTCCATATTAATTGGTTTTTGATAATGGTCTATCAATAAATTAGTGGATATAATTAATAAACAATCTTTACCATTAAACAAGTGGATAACCTTTTCTAGAATGTTTTCTTGCTTTTCAGGTTATCTGAATTTAATCTTAGTGAAGATTTCAAATCACAATCATGAATTATACCAATGTAAATATTTAATTAGTAGGTTTGACCGTTTCCACACGTGCCAACTTATTGGAGTTGACTTGTGATGGCTTGAATGTTTTTGCTCTTGTAAGTTTTTTATTCTTTTTGTTTTGTGTGACTTATTTGTTGTATTTTTTTGGTACATCTTATATCAATTGTTTTTATTTGGTTTGAGATTTTTACCCTCTTATAATATTAATATTATTTTGCCTTAAAAAAGTAGTTGAAAGAGTTTGTTAGGCTTAATTAGAGTTAGCCACCTAAATTTTCACTTGTAATAAGAATCTGTTGTCTTGTATGTATAAGCATGATTGTATCCGTTTAAAAGCAATGAAAATAATCAAGTTGATTATTCAAAAGACTTCTCTCTACTTCATAATATTTAGCTGCTAACATTCATCTTCATTATGGCACTAGTCGTTGGTTCGTGTTGAAGTGTAATTTTAAATTTAACACATTTAATTTTAACATTTGCATTTCAATTTAATTTGACTTTTATTTAGTTTTTTCTAGTGGTATAAATACTGAACTTAATTTTCAGTTTGAAGTAAAATTTTGTAGCCGTTTTCATTAAGAGCATAGTTAGTTACAAATTTATTTTCTCTCTATTTCATCTTTATTTTTAATTTTGTGTGCCAACAATTTATATCTAGAGCTCTGGTTTGATTCATTGAAAAATACAAGTGTATGTGAGACATGTGTGCTTGACTTCTGCTCATTCAATTCACAGTGAATTGAAGATCATAATCGGAACAAAATCATATTTCTTGATTCAGCAGGATTGGAAAACATGAGTGTTGGTGATCTGAGTGAGTTTGCAAAGATCAAAGATGAACGGAAAAAATGGTAATTTAAATAAAAAACTTCCAATATTTGATTGAAAGAATTAAAATCAGTGGATGATTCAGATGCGTGTGTGTTTGGCGCTCAAGATGTTCTTAATCTCGTCAATGACGGTTACACACTGGTTGCAGCAGAAGCAACTGAAGCACAAAGAAACGCGCAAAGAGAAACGAGGAAGAAGTATCATAAGTTGTTGTTCTACGTTCATCAATGTGTGAATATAAATGTGTTTGAAAAGATCGTTGATTCAACGACGACAGAGGTTGTATGAGACACACTGGTACGGTGCTACGGATGTGATGCAACAATGAATGAGGTGAAGCTTCAGAGTCTAAGTAAGCAGTGTGAAAATTTTAACAAGAAGAACAATGAGAAGGTACCAAATTACATCTCCAAAGGGATTGTGGTCACCAATGAGATAAAGGATTATGGAGAAACGCTCTCTGAACAAGTTATTTGAGAAGGTAATGAGATCACTTAATCTTCTGTTTGATTACATTTTTATAGAAATTGAACATTCTAAGAATCTTAGCACCATGAGAATTCAAGAGCTACAGAATAGTCTAGAGGCACAAGAGTTGCGTCTAACTGAGAGAAACTCTGAAAGAGAGGTAGAGCATGCAGTGAAAGTGTCTTCTGGTAAGAAAAATCAGAAGCAATCTTGGTCAGAGGACAATAAGAGACAAGGTGGTTCTCAGAAGTCAGAAGCCTTCAACTCTGATGAGAAGAAACATTGGAAGGGAAATGAGAAGCTTGATAAAAGAAAATTTATGTGTTACAATTGTAATAGGTTTGACCACTTTGCTGCTGATTATTGCTCAAACAAGGAAAGGAAGTCAGAAGAAGCATATATAGCTAGAGGAGATTTTGATGATGAACATGTGTTATTGAAGGCTTCTGAATCAGATGGTGGATATTTTGTAGACTAGTGGTATATGGACATCAGCTGCTTAAATAACCTAATTGGAAACTGTAAGAACAAGATTTAGATCTATGTTTAATCTCTAAGTTTTGATGATAACAAGCATATATTTTATGAAGAACAATTTTAGTTCTAATGGTTTCATTGAGTGTTCAGATACTGTGAAATCAAGCTTTCCAAATGTTCTGATGAAGACAAGCTAGCATGCAAAAATGAATGGATCAAGATAGAAGATTTATCTCAAGCAAAGATTCATTGATCAAGATCAACATTTCAAGACTTATGGCTTAAGGTATATGAAATTTTTGATCTTATGCTCTTAGTGCTCAAAACTATTTTTAATCATGCATTTACTTTATTAAAATAATATTTTGAGTATATACTATGTATGATTGAAGAAGGATGTTTTAAATTGCTTAAAATCTTTGAAAATAATGATTTTTCAATTTTTGTACACAAGCAATCGATTGTCATGCTAGGACAATCAGTTGCATCCAAAAAACAAAAGCTTCTGTTTGAAAACAATCGATTGTCATCTAGCAGCAATCGATTGTCATGTGTTCTGTTTTCAAATTTTTTGAACGTTGGATTATGAGCAACCGATTGCTCCTCAATGACAATCGGTTGTCATAGTTATATTTTTCAAATTTTTTAAAACGTTGCTTTTACAGCAATCGGTTGTTGCTTTAGTGCAACCGGTTGTTGTGCCTTAAATTTTAAAAAAAATTATTTTTCCAGCAACTTTTTGTAACACCTTTTCATGGCAATCTTTGTATCTTTTCAAATACATTCTTTTAGTAAAAATGGTTTAAACATTGCTATGTTTCATTGAAGAGGCATTACTACACTATAAATTATTTTTGTTTAGAATTTCGAAAATACAACAACAATCACTAACAATTATTACTTTCTATTCTTTTGATCATACTCTTTATACTCAAGATTTTTTTCCATCATTTTCATATGCATACTGAAAATTGTTCTTGAGCACTTAGAAGAGTATTCCATCTTAAATCTCATATTGAATAGAAAAGATCAATCAAGTGATTGACATTGATCTTTCATTATTCAAACTCTTATAGAAATCAAACAAACTATTGTATACTTGTTTTCAGGATTGTTGGAAATAAGAAAGACACTTAGGGAGGATTGTTCTCTTTGTGGTCTTAGTGAAAATCCAAGAGGATCGTTCTTGGTCCAAGATGATTGTTCTTGGTTGTTAGGTAGTCTTTGTACAAATTACCAACTATAAGAAAATCAGTGGATGATTCAGATGTGTGTGTTGTTTGGTGCTCAAGATGTTCTTAATCTCGTCAATAACGGTTACACACTGGTTACAGCAGAAGAAACTGAAGCACAAAGAAACAAGCAAAGAGAAACGATGAAGAAGTATCAGAAGTTGTTATTCTATGTTAATCAATGTGTGAATATAAATGTGTTTGAAAAGATCGTTGATTCAACGATGACGAAGGTTGTGCGGGACACACTGGTACGGTGCTACGGATGTCATGCAATAATGAAGAAGGTGAAGCTTCAGAGTCTAAGTAAGAAGTATGACAATTTTAACATGAAGAATAATGAGAAGGTACCAAATTATATCTCCAAAGTGATTGTGGTCACCAATGAGATAAAAGCTTATGGAGAAACGCTCTCTGAACAAGTTATTTGAGAAGGTAATGAGATCACTTAATCTTCTGTTTTATTACATTTTTATAGAAATTGAACATTCTAAGAATCTTAGCACCGTGAGAATTCAAGAGCTGCATGATAGTCTAGAGGCACAAGATGCGTCTAACTAAGAGAAACTCTGAAAGAGAGGTAGAGCATGCGGTGAAAGTGTCTTCTGGTAAGAAAAATCAGAAGCAGACTTGGTTAGAGGTTAAGAAAAGACAAGGTGGTTCTTAGAAGTCAAAAGCCTTCAACTTTGATGAGAAGAAACATTGAAAGGGAAATAAGAAGCTTGATAAAATAAAAGTTATGTGTTACAATTGTAATAGGTTTGGCCACTTTGCTGCTGATTATTAGTCAAACAAGGAAAGGAAGTCAGAAGAAGCAAACATAGCTAAAGGAGATTTTGATGATAAACATGTGTTATTGAAGCCTTCTGAATCAGATGGTGGATATTTTGTATACTGGTGGTATATGGACATCAGTTGCTTAAATAACCTAACTGGAAACTATAAGAACAAGATTTAAATCTATGTTTAATCTCTGAGTTTTGATGATAACAAGTGTAACGCCCGTAATTTAATTAATTATTTAATTAAATTATTTTTGGATTATTTGTAAAGTTGTGTTATGATGATAGTTGATGTGTGTTGTTATTGGATTTATTTATTCTATTAAATTGTGGAAGAATATTAGAATAATAACATTATTTGATGTGGGCTTATTTTAAGGACTAGAAGTAGTAAAAAGGGGGTGTAGGAGTTTTAAGCCCATTAAGACATAATGAGAAGTATAAGGTTATTATATTGTTTTTTTGATAAATAATAAGGAAAAGAAGAAGCAGTAAGAGAGAAATAAATAAGGGTTGGAAGAGAACGTGAAAGTTGCAGAAAAGAAGGAAAAGAGCCAGAACAAAATTCAATCGGAAAATGTCGTAGAGCAACCTTCAATCCAATGTAAGGGTGGGGTTCTGACTCTATAATAGGGTTTATGATGAGTAGTATGTGGGATTAGATGTGAAAAGTTGTCTTGTTTATGATTTGAATGTATATATTGTTGTATGATGAAGATCAATGATTTAGAGATGAGTAATGATGCCCTAATGATGTATAATTG